TGTGACATGTTAAAAGTGTTCAATGATCATCTTCAAGGTTGCACATTTTGTTTTGTTTAGGAAACTTGTGCATGAAATTTTGTGCAAAGCATTGGTAATCTCACCTTGACAAATTGCTAAATATTATGGGATCTAGGAACATTCCGGAATATCAAGTGGTCTACTCCTTTAAACAAGATTTGGTCAGACCAGCCTTTCAGACTGGACACTAATCTGTGACAGAAATTCAAATATATAAATGTCGGGAAGCCACATGGGCAGAATATGTCCCCCCCCCAAAAAAAAAAAAATCCAGCTTGGCAAAGGAGTAAGATAAGGCTATATATTCTTCCCTTATTTATTCAACCTATATCCTTAATATATTTTGTGGGAACTTGGGACTGGAACAGGATGAGCATGTTTTAAGATTGGAAGAAGAAACATCAATATTCTGTGCTATATTGATGACACTATTTCATTAGCCAAAAATGCTAGACCTGCTAATACAATCAAGGAGCATAGTGAAAAGAATGGACTAAACTTAAATACAAAGAAGACCAAACTTTCAATAGGTACAACAACCAGCCTCAGAATTGTAATGAAAATATCAAAGAGATAAATAGTTTTTTGAGATCAACCATTAAAAAAACCATGGAAACGATATTGAGATGCTATGATGTGTCTGTACCTACAAGGATTGGAATAGGGTAAATAATGGTATTCTCTATGCACTTTAAAGAAACAAAGTTGAAGAGCAGTAAAAGTTGTTTTAAAGAAGTAAGATAGAAAAAGTATTGACTCTTTTGATCTTTAGTGTTGAAAAAGACTCCTGAGAATGCCAAGGACAGCCAAGAAAACATTGATCATTGAATATATAAACCCAGAGGCACAAATGAGCAGGTTCAATTTTTCCTACTTTGGATAAATTATGCAAAAACCTAGCTCTCCGGAGAACACTCTAATACTGTAAAAAAATAGAAGGGAAGAGAAGGAGAAAATGACCAACTATGATGTAGTTAGAGTCAGTAACAGTGGCAATGGGTATACTATTGGAAGACCTTGAAGACCAGGTTAAGAACACGTCATTCTAGAGAAAAAATATTTATGTGATCACTGATAGTCAACACTGATTTGATGGCTCATAATCAATCAATTGATCAATCAATCAATCAGATGTAAAGCAGAATGGAACCCTGATTTAAAATTTTGCTCCCTGTTATATTCTATTCTTTTAAAAAAACTTTTTAAAAAAATCTCTACAGAGAACAAAATATAAAAAAAACTAAGAAAAAATAGGGAGGGGAAAAGTGCAAAGGATAAAGAGAAAAGAGGGAAGAAAATAAAAAAGAGTGGTTTTTTACAACCCTGTAATCCCTTTTTATCAGGGTGGAGTTGGGGCAACTGAATGGAGCTGAGCGTTTACTGGCTGGGTGTCAGCCCTTTCTGTCACCTACACAGAGTTCACAGCAGATATTTTCTCTTTGCGCCCTGATAGAGAAACGTCTGTCACTGCCTAGGATTGAACTCTCAGCCTTCTGAGTGGGAGGTGAGCATCTTCATCTCTAGGCCACTGCACCACTCAGAAAAATATTTGTACTGTTACAAAATTTTCTTTGTACTGTTACAAATATGTAGGTAATCCCCAACTTGCAACCATTACAGAGCCTGCCAATTATGACTGTAAGTCATGACCATTGTAAAAGTAAGTTATCACGTGACTGACCCCATTTTTAATTACTTTCTTTTGAAGCAGTCATTAAGCAAAAGGAATGATGGTAAGCAAATGTTGCACTCATTAAGCAAACCCGTTGTTGGCTATGGGATGTTTTTGTGGAAATAACTGGAAGTAAACATCAGTATTGGCAAAAACATTGTAAATCAAGATTATTACTATGGAATGCTGCAAATGTCTGTAACTGCCAAGCAGCCAAAATGTAGTCAGGAGACCATGGAGTGGGGTCAGCCATTGGGACATCAGAACCGAGTCATAAGTACATTTTGGGAGTCTATAATAACTTTGTTTGGTTGCTCTGTGACCTATTGTAATTTGAGGACTATTTGTAGCCTTTTGCTTTGAAATTCAGTTATATATATTATTTGTACAATCATAAACAATTCCAATTGCCAAAACCCAACATCAATGTAGCATTTCTTTTGGTTTCAAGCAAAATGCCCCTAAGTCAGGGGTGTAAAACTCAATTTCACTGAGGGCCGCATCAGCATTGCAGTTGCTCTTGCGGGGGGCGGGGTGTGTGGCCAGAGTGGGTGCAGCCTACTGGGTGGGCGTGGATGGAGTGGGTGTGGCTACTGGGTGGGCATGGCCAGTTCTACATCATTCGCGTCAAGGGTGCCTATGGGGGCCTGGGCAGAAGTGGGACAGATCTGAGGGTCTCTGGCAGAAGGGGGTAGGACTGGGGCAAGTGCCAAGGCATGGTCCACCGGGGCAAGTGCCAAGATGGCTACCACAAAATTGTACATTGGCTCCTGGCTGGCCTGGGCCAGGGCCAAGGCAGCGGAGGCCGTTCCCTCACTGTTTCCAGGATGGCTTCGTGGGCCACATGAAACCACTTCGTGGGTCACATCCGGGCCCCGGGCCTTGTGTTTGACATGTCTGCCCTAAGTGGTATCCATGTAGAAACAAAGTTAGGTAAAGTATTTTCTTTAACCAAAGTGGTTAGTTCTGTCAGCTCAGCCAATTCCATTAATTTCACCATCCATTCTTCTATTGTGTAGATCTGTGGGCCTTTCCATCTCTGTGCATACAAAAGTCTTGGATTCCCAGTACCGTAGTAATCCAAGGATTAAACTTCTCAGTGACACTATCTGAGAGTCACAGTATAGATTAAATGCCTCCCATCTGTACTTTTCCTTTAAAAACAACTCAATTGCAAATTCTGTGAATGGCATATCATTCGGTGTTAATGGGCTGGGTTGGTTTACTGAACATTAGAGTCTGTTTTACAATCTGTGCATGTGTTTGTACATGTTGGACTTCTGGGCAGATTTAGAACTTCTGAAATTTTGTATTGCATTTGAGTTGTTGAATGAATTCTGATGTGTGACCCTGGGTGGATGAATGTTGTTAATGTTCAGCTTAAACATGCATTTCTTTTTTTTTCTTTTGTTGCTTATGTTATTTTTAAATGTTTATAGGGCTGCCCATATTATATCAATAATAAAACATATATATATATATTTTTATTAAAACCAAAAACATTAAAAACCTGGCACCAGAATTAAGTTTCCACATGTAGTCCCTCATTAAATCTTCTCATCCACTTCAACCTTTCCCAGCGCTTGGAGAAAATCCAGATCTTAAGTGCTTTCTGGGAGGTTAGGAGAGTAGAGACCTGCTGAATTTCAAACCGAAGGTTGTTCCATTGGGCAGGAGATGGCATGAAAAAAAAATAAATTCTGGTTTGTATGGTCAGAGTTGCTCTATAAAACAGGAGGCTTCTTCTGAGCAGTGACAATCCTGTAGGCTACCACATGTAAAAGGAATCAACTGACTTGGACTATGAATGTGCCATAACAACAGGACCAGTTAGGACAATGTCTTGAAGATTGAACGTTGTCTCCTGTAAGAAGAGCTTGGACAACTATTTGCCTGAAATGATATAGGGTTTCTTGCTTGAGCAGGGGGTTGGACTAGAAGACCTCCAAGATCCCTTCCAACTCTGTTATTCCGTTATTCTGAACTTCACCATGTATACAGTACATGTTTACTCAGAGAGCGAGACCTTGAATGAATAGGCTTCAATCTGCAATATGATTCTTTTCATATGCCAAGAAGTAAGTTCATGTTGTTACATTTACAGGCAACTCAAATGACAATATTGCAAAATAATGACCAGTATTCCAGAACCTCCAGAACCTCTACAAATTCACCTTTTTTTGTTCCTGCATTTTGTGTTCTGTATTGAATATTTGTCTCTTTCTGCCACCTGCTGGCCATTAACCTGCAATACTCTACTTACAGTAGGAATGTGCAGTAAGAATGTGCAGGAAAGACTATTGATATCATAGTTTTTATTATCATCTGAGGCTGTTGCTGTGCTTATGAAGGTTTTCAGCTATCACATCTGTAAATTTTTCTTTTCTGTTCTGTTCTGAAACTGTGCTGAATAAATGACTGGGATTATTTTATACTGAGTTTAGAAATTTTCTTTATGAGACAGTGCCTATCCATGATTTCAACATAAATAATTCTTTATGCAATAAGGCAATATTTTGCTGACTAGGAGTTCATTTGTGCAAATTAGATATTATTTTCAGGATCCACATGATTTTACTCCTAAGTAAATGTGTATGAGATTTCATCACTGGACTTAATTAATGTTTTGCCTTTGGGATTAATCTCCATTGTTTATAGAATAAGTTATTTTATTTGCTTTTCAGAGCATGAAGGCTTGTGTGCTACTATGATCTTTGATTTTACCATTTTTCCTTTAATGCATGACAGTAATATTATCTTTATTTTACAGCTTTTGTCTATCTGAATTAATAAGAAATCATATCAACATGATAAAGCAGAGAGAGAAATAAAAATACCAACAATATAAGTTTGTAATTTAAATATATCAAATAAAATGTATCCATTTAAGTAGACTGATGCAATCTGCATGCCTGATTTAGCTTGCATCAAAATAGCTCCTCCAAATATACTGTGCAGCATCTTCTATTACTTTCTCATTAGAGCCAAAATGAGGTGGGGAGAACTTGAATGGATACAGCCCTACCCTGTCAACACTGTGCAATGTTTACGCCATCTTCTCTTCTCTCTCCTTTGGTTTCTTCAAGATAATCCCTTAAGATTTTGGGACACACTTTTGACTAAGACTTTTTTTTAGCAGGAAGGAGATTTCTAAGAAACATACTTTGACTTTAGGAGTAATAAGAAAAAAAGAAACTATATAGGATTTTTTGTTGTTATACAAGTACTGCATACTCAGATACCAAAAATAAAAACTCTTAATTTTCTTCTCAACTATTCCATTCATTTTATTTTTTTAAAACAATAGATGCAATAACAACGAGAACAAGCAGCTGTCAATCAGACAGCAGTGGATTTCTGGAAGATTCTTTGGAGCCCTTACCTCTGTAGGTAACTTAGGAATCAGATGCTGAGATCAATTAAAAACTATATTCAGTGCTTGGGGGATACCTTTCTGCTGATTTCTAAGAGGCCTTGTTATTTTCAGAATAAATCTAATTCTGTGTGTCTTTACTAAAATACACTCTTGAGTTCAAAATTTTCAGTGTTCATAATACAATATGTCTTGAGTTTCAACAGTTGCCTGCAATTTTTCTGGGCTATTTTGCCTAACCCAAAATTTAAATGTGTAGTAACTAATCCATATTAATCTGCCCTGGTCCTTCATTATAGCTATAGTCAGTGCTTTTTTTCTTAAAAAAAAAAAAAAAAAGGTGCCGGAATTCACACATGTCATACAACCCGCCTTGCCTACCCTACAAGGTTCCATCCCCAAAAGGTACCGGAACTCCGTTCTGGGCGTTCTATGAGAAAAAAAGCCCTGGCTATAGTTACTTAGCAACAATTTTCTCATCAGTTGCAACACAAAATTTACTCAAATTCTAGATGCCTTGCCATATTTCCTGAAGATTCTTCAGTAGGCAACTACTTCATTATTTTCCTGAGTGACATTGATTTTTAGTGTATACGTGAAGTGCAGTACTGCAAGTGTTGGGGGAGCTGAGCCTCACAAAGCCCCCCCCTTGCACTTTTTTCTGCCTTCCTTTCCATTCATTCTTTCTATTGTTTGTCTCAGAATAACAGAATAACAAAGCAAAAAAGTTTTTCATCTTCCTTCTGAAAATAGCACGTTAAACTCTTTTTTTCACATTTAAAATTATGCATAAGAAAACTACAAAAACTCTGAGAATCTCCATGAGGAGAAAGTATTGGAGGGCCAAACAATTTTTTTGAGACTTTCTAATAAAACTGAGTTTTGGAGGTCCTTTGGATTGGAGTCTCAACTTGTAAACTAGTGTGTCTGGAATTACTGTTCTGGTCTGGAACTGCAACTTGAGCAGACTGCATCTCACTTAGTGTCCTGTGCATGAATCTTATCTACAGTTTTCTTCATACTGGTCTGTTAGTACTGTGTCTGTATGCTTTTGTATGGTGAAATAATATCAGCCCTATTCCATTAAGTTAAAAAGGGGTGGGTGGGTAGAGAAATATTTAGTACAAATAAACTATTTCTTAGTTTATTATTCTTATAATTTGCCCAATAATTGAAATGTTCTGTGCACGTTATAGTGTTATCCAAAACTTAATAAAATACTAAAATCATTTTTTAATATTCAGAAGAACCTTAATACCATTAATAACTAGGATATAAATTATGAAAAAAAACATTTAAAATCCAGTATAGTGGCCACTTAGAATATAACTGACTACAAATATTAAAGATGTCAGATCCAATAAATTGGAGTCATTCTAATTGTACCGTTCTGTATGTGTCTTCTCAGATGTTAAGTTCAACTGAAACCACTGGAATTTAATTCCAAGGAAATGGAAATAGATTGCAGCCCAAACTAATTCAATTTTGTTTTCAGTGAAATAACATTGATTTTGCTAAATCTGAATATTTGTTAAGACTCTTTGATTTTCATTTCAGGTTTTACCTTTGCCTATAACCAATGAGGGTTAGTTGCAATTCCCATGATTATCAAGAATTTTCACAACATAAGCAAGAATATCTACTTATGACTCAAGATTATCAACCCCAAATAGACAGGGCTGTCCCTAACATATCAATTGTAGAGAACACCGTTTCATTACTGCCCAGCCTGAGCGAAGAAAATACTTTACAGGGAGAGGAAATCTTTTATTCCATAAATGAAGATGATATTTCATGTGAGACTTACAGTGGACAGTCAGAAAATGTTGTCAGAAAATCAGCATATGTGCTGGATAAGAATGAAATGCAAAGTAGAAGAGGACAACGAGAGAAAGAAGATGATTGTTTGGTGCAAGACAGTACTTCAGCTCCAGAAAGGAATAACAGAGGTTCTTTTTCTACAGAGGAAAATTCCATTTCACCTCTAATTAGACTTAGTGGCGGCCAAAGTTGTCAGGGTAGAAAAGAACATGAAAAACCTTTGAGAGGAAGAGGAAGAGGAGAAGGAGGGGGGGGAGATGTGTGTAGAAGAGATGTTTTAGAAGATACAGCAGGATGCATAGAAGAAAAAATTGTATGAAATGAAGCCTTACAAAAAGTTGAATTTGCCCATTTCAGTTTCAAAAATTAAAAGTGGATGTCAAGATGCTACTTTCAAGGATGCATTAAAGCATGTGGATACAATAGCCTCTAAAGATGAGTGTATCTGGATGACTGCATCTCCACAAATTGATGCTATTTCAAATAATTGCAGTCTTCAAGGCTCCAACCTTTCCTTTTCCTGTGTTAAAAACAGACAATCTGATTCTTTGAATCTATTACAATCAAGTTCAGAATTGGACAAAGATGGGCATGTTCCTGACTCTGAAATAAATGCAAACTCCTTTAAATCTGTTACAATCCAGATGCCTTCAAAACTAACATCAAATAAACAAAGCATATCACTGAATGAAACTGCCATCAAAAACCCGTCTATGGATTTGTCATCCAAGATGTCCCAATGCCCTAGGAATGAGTCCTTGGTTTTATCAGAGGGAAAATACAAGCAAACAAGAGAAGCTTCTGCTCAAACCCATAAGATGCAAGCGAAGGAGGGACCAATGCCCCCATTTCACTGCTTCCCTTCTTTTAACGGGCATGGCCACTTAGTGAAATCTGCTTCTGTAGATGCAGGACTTCATGGAGAGTACAGCGCAAGCGCCCATGAACCTTTGAATACTTGGTGTACCCATCCAATGGCTCACTGTTGCTCTTCAAACTCCCACCACTGTTGCTTTATGAGATCTTTCCCTTTAGCTGTAACTTGCAAATTCCCCACAGTGTGTTGGTCTTCTCGCAGCCCTATAGAGCTGCAGCTTTGGAAAACTCTCAGATTGTTGCAAGGCTCAGCAGTGAGAAACATCTCTTCTGTGAGTCTCGCTAAAGGAAATGTAATAACTGGTTAGTATTTTGTTTCTCTGATGAAAAAAATTGTGTTCTTCTAGCAATCAGGTTAGATGTCTGAAATAACAGCGAACCCCAAATTATTTATGAACAGCAGCCAGAATGGTAGAAGAACTGAAAGCTGTATGAGGAATGGTTGGGGAAAATGTTCTTTATGTTTAGCTGTAAGAAATAAGGTCAAGAAAAACTGTTAGCTGTCTTCAGTTATCTGAATGTTTATATGCAGTCAGAACTACATTTTATGACTTTGGGTGATAATGGTAAGGGAAAAACTGTCAGGTAAATATTAGGAGAAATGTTGAGAACTGGTCAACACTGGAATAGAATGCTAGGGAAGTGCTGGACTTTTTTGACCATTGTTATTAAAGCAGAGGCTAGACAGCCACTGGTGAGATATATTACAGAACTTGCATTGACCAGGGCATTGAATTTAATGAGCCCTAAAGTTTCTTCATCCAATTTTGCAATTCTATTGTATGGAAACATGCCTCCACTAAGTCCAATGCTGTCTGCCAAGTTCAGTGCTACTCTCTACTCTAAATGGTGCAACTCTATAGGGAAATAGAGGGAAATCTCTTTCATCATTTGCTGCCCAGCACACCTTTTTGCTGGAGATTCCCAATTTGCTGCCCTTTTTTAACAGATGGGAAGGTTTTCTTGCTCAGCAAAATTAATTAACTTCTGTCATCTTATTCAAACATTCCATAGACTAATTGGAAAACAGAGAATGAGATTATTTTCCGTGTTCCTTCTATAAACCTGAATACAGAATATTCAAATCTACAACATCTACATGAATATTGTTATTGTTTTTGTATGATTGGAAATTCTGCTTTTTTTTAATTACAAGTTGTGTAAGCTACCCATATGAAATTTATTGGCATGCATTAGATTCTGGTTAAAGCTTGGTTGATCACACAGAAGTTGGCTGTAGAGTAAGTGGGTGTGATCCTACCTCTTTTTCTGTGTTCAACGAGTATAGAATTATTTTTTTTTCTACAGAAAGGAGGCAAATTCAGATAGTGTGTTTACAGTCTCTACATAATCATGGCTCATGGAGAGTCTAAAATAATTTAAGTCAACATTAATATTTGAAAACCAAACTGTAACTCAGGAAGTCCAATGTCCATACTGTCGCTTATCTAGGGAAGAGAGATGGATTTCTCAGAACTATTTTTAATACATTATTTTTAGGTTATAACTTTGGGGGAATTAACCAAAATGTCCACAAGATGGCATTGTAGAAAGAGACCCATGTTAGTTTAGAGTGGTAAAAAGAAGTCTGATAGCACCTTTTCCAATTAATAAATTTTATTAACAGGCATTAAGCATTTGTCACAGATGCTGCTACACTTCTGATTTTTGCCACAAGATGGCAGTGTTTCATAAATCACTTATAACTAATTGTATTTTTTTTTTAAGTATATGGTCCTGGTGTATTTTTCCATTTTTAAAAAATATTTGTGGAAAGCAGAAACATTTTCCCTCACTTTTTTCTCTTTTCCCCACTTAAAATGACACTTCATTCAATAATTTCAGTAAATAAAACAATTGAAATGAAATATTAATTTTTTTCTACTCATTTTCCAAATGTGTAGTGCTATGACTTAAACAAACCCCTAAAAATGGGGTGTTGTATATATGTGCCTCTTGTTTAGAACCATGAACATATGATTTCAGGATATAATATCCTGAATGCCCTATAATATCCTAATATCCAGAATATAATACGGAAATAATAATAAAGAAAATCCTCTCAGTTTACAGTAGGGGTAGAAATGAGAATTGGCAATAAATTAAAACAGATATTAGTACCCAGAGTGAGACACTCATACTGAGATTGCATGAGAAAAGAAGGACTGGGGGAGGGGACATAATAGCAGTATTCCAGTATTTGAGAGGCTGGCTGCCACAAAGAAGAGGGTCAATTTATTCTCCAAAGCACCAGAGGACAGGACAAGAAACAATGGATGGAAACTAATCAAGGAGAGAAGCAACCTGACAGTGAGGACAATTAACTAGCGGAACAGCTTTTGCCTTCAGAAGTTATGGGTGCTTCATCACTGGAGGTTTTTAAGAAGAGACTGGAAAGTCACTTGTCTGAAATGGTATAGGGTCTCCTGCTTGAGCAGGGGGTTGAACTAGAAGAAGGTCCCTTCCAGCTCTATTCTAATTGATTAATTGATTTGATTGATTTTTCGAGGGTTTCCATAAATGAGAAGATAATACTTGTTGGTATAGCTATATTGCATTAGTTTCAGCAGATTACTATTAAATCAGAATAGTTATTATTCCCCACCATTGACCGTGCTAACCAAGTTCTTATTGTAATTTAGTAATACATGGATAGTCATAAGTTCCCCATATTCTTACATTTTTCCTGAAAAGTCTTCAAGTTTATTCTGCCAAAGACTAAGAAATTTGTTGTAGTAACTGCTCAAAATAAGCCTGTCTACCACTTAACTCTTCTATTGTAAATACATAGTATGTTATTGTTTCTTCTTGGTATTGTATTTAGTGTACAGTCCATGAAATTGAAGTTATGAAAAACTCATGCCGGAAGTTTCAAGAAAAGCTGGATGAAATTGAGCAGCACCTAGCAGAACAAGAAGCTTTATTTCCCAATATTCTGTTGAAAGAGGGACTGACAACATTGAAAATGGAAAAGTCTTTCTATATAAATCAGAAGAAACTTGAGGAGCAAAAAGAAGAACTAAGGCCCTTTTATGACTTGTGGACTTCAACTCCCAGAAATCCTGAGCCAGCCATAAGTCATAAAGGGGCCATAGTTCCCCACCTCTGCTCTAAAAAGACTGCAAAAATGAAGCTGATGAAACACACCTAGCCTGTAGTATATTCAGCACTATTCATTGGCCATATAAAATTTTACAGAATTTTCCATTGCAAAATATATAAGAGGCACATTATACAATTATTTTTTTTGTAAAAGTTTTATTGGTTTTTTACAATAACAACCTTAGTGCCTTGTGTACAGCGTGTTGTCTTGGTTCATAACTTTTTTAGAAAAGAATATACAATTAATAATAGTTAATAAAAAATCAATAATAATTAATTTTTATATTTCCAAAATTAGTATATCAATTAATAATATATTTCCTTGATCTTCTCTTTACCTAGTAGTATTCTCCTTTCTGCCAAAATTAAACAAATATAATTTCTAATATTTGATATTTTCCATATTTAAATGATTAAATAAAAAATTGTTCTATATTTATACCAACAATAGTAGCATCCATATATAGCATTTTTTCTTATCAGCTTATGTTATTTTTGTAAGAGTCATCTTATTGATTCACCATATATCTTATTTTCATAAATCTTGTTTAAGTTCAATTTCTCTGTAGTATTCAAACAATTCTTGTCAATCATATTTTCCCCAGTATTTAACATCTAAATATCCAAATTTTCAATGTAAATATATCATCCAGTATTTCATATTTCATATATTATATATATTACTTATCTATCATAACATCTATCCATAACATCTTTCTAATCAATTTATATTTCACTTCTATTTGTAAAAATTAGTTAAATCACTATATATCCTTTTTTCAGAGTTCTTATTAAGCTTAATTTCTCCTCAATATTTCAATCATTCCTTAATCCTAAATCTTTTCAAACTTAATTTGTCTTTAAAATTCAAACTTTTCCTTCACTTACAACATCCTAATATTTTTACATTTTGTATCCTATCAAAAAATACTATATACTTATGTCTCTTATCCAACTTATTCTAAGGTCCCTTTATGGCCAAAGTTATTAGTTTATTTAGCCATATTCAAACAAGTGTTTACTCATATAATATTCCATCTGGTAGGGTGAATCCAGTCTCTTCAGCCCATCTCTAATCTTCTTCCTTTGCCAAATTGTTTTCCAAATTAATATTTTCAACTTGTCCAGTTCTTGTATTTTTGTAGTTATTGTTAGGAGTAGAGGATATATAGTAGATAGGATGTATGCTTTTTGTCTCCCAAACAATGATTCTCCTAGCAGTGTCCATTTTGTTAAGTCTTCTTTCTTCTCAAGTTTATTTTGACGTTCTAATGCATAAGGTATCTTTTCCATATTTATTCTTGTATCCAAGTCTTGTAAGTTTTTTCTTGTTTGTATTAAGTTATAATTCCCTTCATTTGTAACTTCACAGTTAAGTCATTTTTTTTAGTTCACATTCTGTTGTCTGGGTTGTTTATTCATTCTTTACCATCATTCCTTGGATGTTTTTTTATTGTAGATTTAAGTTAGAAGTATATTCGCTTATAGTATCAAAGTTATGTTTAATCTCCTTGTGGTTTAAGTCTATTGTAGTTTGTATCTGTTGTAGCATTGCATAAATTTCGTCTTGGAAAGTATTTGTCTTGTCTTGAAGTGTTTCTAAAGGCCTTTGATCTTTCAGGCTAAATCTTTCAGGAATAGATATTAGATTAGGTGTGGCTTTTTATCATTTTTTGATGAGTATGTCATATCCATGTGTCTGCCCAGTAAAATCAATGTTTTATCACAATTCTTTCTTTCAGGAGTCAATTGTCAATTCAATATATTTAGCCAGCTTAAATCCTTCCTGTAACTTCCCTTCTCAATAATTTGTCATAGATCAAAGTTTTTAAACAGTTCATAAATTTAAACCACTATTAAAATATTTCTTTTCCTTCAAACACTTTCTAATCTTATAGCTAGCCCAGTATTCAATCTCTTCTCTGTTCCTTAGCAACTATCTTCTTAAAGGTTATTAGAGTTCATGGAAACATATTTTTTTTCTTTGTTTCTGGGCATTGTCTTTAATGTGCTATATTATCATTGTCCACTAGATGTCAGCAAATATTTATTTTCCAGCTCTTTCAGACAAAAAAATTCTTATTATTTTTTCTTTTTTTATGTAATTCAATCAAAATCCTTTAGAATATAATCTTAGCAGATTGTTTTAGTTTCTAAGTTTGATCAGATTGTAGTATTTTGAATTTAATTTCAATAAGGTTCTTTCCTCCTTAAAGGTTAATTCCATCTATGGGAAAATGAGAATGTAGTCCCCTCCCCTCACTTTCGGAGGTTGTTTGCCTTGGGGGTTTTCTCAGGGACTAGTTGTGAAATAAAGGAGAGAAGATCAAATACTCTCACCAATTCCAAGCACGCTGTTCACTGTTGTTCTGGCTAGTGCTCTGGGACTTTGGCTGCAGGCAGCTTGGCTAGACACTGGCATGTGGCTAGCCTTTCTCCTGTCGGGTTCGGAGGTCTTTCCCCAGAGCAAACGAAGCGATTGCCATCAGTTTGTGATCAACGGGGTGCCCCTCCTTCACAGTCACCTCTATGGGACGGCTTTCTGAATCTTTTAAATAAAACAAAAAAGCCAAATAATATAAATGTTATTTTATTTATTTAAATTTATTTAATTTATTTAAAATCAGTAAAACAAGCATACAAAGTACATAAATAAAACAAAATAGCCAAATTTCCCATATGTTTGAAGATAATACTTCCCAACATTCATATAATAACAATGGCTCTACAGTACATTTCCCAATTCATTCCATGCACAAATCACATTTGTGGACTAATTTCTCATTTTCAAAGAGAGGGGGATTGTATTATGAAAGACAGACCAAAGCCCTGAAAAGTTGTGTGGAGTGGCTATTTATGAACTCTTTATCAAATTTGGGCTGCAAACTTCTGGACAACAACTAAATGGCAATGTCTGTCTGTCTGTCTGTATTAGAGTTTTATAGCTTTCCAGCACAAAAATAAGCCCAAAAAATAAGCACACATTCAAAATGAGCAGGAGGCATAGTTTAGAAAAACTTTTTTTATAAAATATATATAAACATGATACATACAGTTTCATTCAGTTCTTGGCAACGTGGTAGAAAACAACAACAACTAACTCAGGAGATCAGGACACAGGAAGAGACTAACCACACCCAAACTAGGCTGGCTCACATGCTTTTCACAGCCAATCCTGTGTCTCAGTTAAATAACAGTTCCCATTGGCTGGTTCATTGCTATGGCTATTCCAGTTCATAAATTCTTACACACTGACAATCAGTCTGTCTGTCTGTCATCTCCTACCTTTGTTATAGCTAGCTAATAACTTTTTTTTGCAGCAATTGGATCAACTATTAAGTACACAGTCTCCTTTATGCTCAGAATTTGGAATTTCTGATTCATGGGAAGAAAATGAAGATAAGACTGTTTTCTGTGCCAGAGCTGGATGTGTTAAGGGGATACAACACAGGCCTCCAGCCAGGAGTGCAACAATCCCATCAAGCCCTTCAGCTACTTTCACCAGGCAAAATAAGCTGCATGCCTCAGCTTTAGCAACTGAGACCAGTTTGGTGTTAGTTCCCAAGGAGCTTCACAAGAATAAAAAAGAAAGTAAAGGTCCCCCTCAGCCTAAAATAAACTTCAGGGGCATTATACAGAATGTAAGAATTGCTCCTCAATGCTTCTGGTTCCTAGAGTGGAGATAGATGGAACTTTTCTTCTCAGGTTTTCTGTTCTTTTTTAAAAAATATATTTTATTGATTTTTTAACATAAACACTTTGATATTTGGTAAACAGCATGTTGTCTGGGTTTATATTTACAAAGTAATCACTAACAATCAGTTTCTGTATTACAAAGTCCGCATGATAGCTTTGCTTGATTTTCTCTTCTTCCAATAATATTCTCTTTGCAACCTTAAATTAATACAATTCTTATTAATTTGATAGGCAACAATTAAATGTAAAGATTTTTCTAAAAATTCTACCAATAATAATCACATCAATATCATGCTTCTTTTTTATGTTCCTCTTGATTGCCTCGTCATGAATCCTGTTTACAATTCTTATTTCAATTTATTTTCTGTACAATGTTCAAAACATTCTTGCTGGTTAATTTTCCCAGAGTTAATTACCTTAAAGTATTTAAATCTATTTTCATGTCTTAAAAAGTAAGTAAGAAAAAGACACAAAAGAAAAACATAGAAAAAGAAAAGACAAGAGAGGGAGAGAGAGAAAAAAAGATAATGAGAAATAATTAAATATAGTATAGCCTCTTCCAAGAATTTTCTGATCTCTGAACAATTTTTCTCCTGATATAAGCACCCTCTACTGGTGCTAGTTTAAAACAGAATAAGCATGAATTAATTGTTAATGGGCAATTATTATGGCTGATTTCCATCACGAGAAATAAAATAAGAAACTTGTTTTTGCTTCAGGAATGTGATGCTCAGGTTTCTTTTGAGAAAATCTGTACATTTTACATTATTTTATTTTATTGTCTTGAAATTACTAATTTTATCACTGAATATATTTAAAACAAAAACATATACGGAAAACATACTATATATGGATCTTAACTCAATATTGATATAAACCCTCCTTCAAAATGTTAGGTCACCTTTCTAATATACTTGTAACCCATTCCTCCAGTTTTTAAAAGTTGTCCTTATTAACTGATTTCTAATAATATTTTTATGCTGCATCTTATAACCAATCAGATCAACAATATTCCTCAGGATTAAACTTTTCACCAGTTGTTACTTGTCCAAATAAATGTGTCTCAAATGCTATTTCTAAAATTTTAGATTTTTACAAGTTAACATTCCCCGAGTGTTATTATTGTAAGAAAGCTATTATAATACTGTAAATGTAGTACTAGACTAAAGAAAACCTCAGATTTTTTTCCCCAGTCATGTTCAGGCCTATTGTGCTAGTTTCACAAATCCATGTACACCTTTTTTCTCTCTCTCTGAACTGGATATATGTGCCTGCAACATAGTTTTGTGATAGCTAATGCTGTCTTAAAGCTGATGTGCATTTTGGCAAATTTAATTGACAATAAAGATTAGTTTATTAAAGTGAAAAATGTCATTTATGTCTTCATTGTTTCTGAAACATCTAAATATACTGCATGTATAAATCCATTCCTATTACATATAAATTTCTGTAACTAAAGAGTAAGGAATTATAATAAGTTTGTTGTTTCAAATCATACCTGACTGTTTCAAATCATACCTGACTTCTAAGAAAAGCATTGCAATTTATTCCTTATTCCATCCAATGTAATACTTCACTCAGTGTGAGCCACTGAATATTTCTCAAGCATATCAACCATTTGGGCAGCTTTAAGAGCATATGACTTTTGACATCAACACTAGCCCAGCTGTTGCTCCATGGCAACCATAATGGGAATGGAGGTGTAAAGGAGCACATGACACTGTTTGGCTGCTGTACAAGCAATGTTCAATTTTTATCTATTGGCCGCTTCTATTCCATAACAGATTTCATGCATCAGTCTAAACTAAACTAAGTACCGTATATTGTAGTTTAAAGCAATGTATTAATTTGCAGTTTTCTTACCTTCTGCAGTTTATAGCAAAGGGTTCCAAGGACATCATAGTGGAACCATGTGAAACAATTCATTATTTTTTGGAAAAAGCTCTTAAGAATACCCTCTTAAGGACTGAATTATCCTTTAATACCCACCACGTATTGAATGACTGTATTCAAGGTTACATTGGGCATTGTTATACTGTTACTATTTCCACAGTTTGTATTTTTATGGGTCTTCACTTTTTGTTAAACAATATTGAAAGACAAACTGAAACTGCTTATATTTAATATCACTTCATATTGGTAATGCTATAGATCATATTCTGTTTAAACAAATGGAAACAGATGTCTGAAAGCTGATTGAATTAAACAGCACAAGGAGTGAGTTTTGTATAAAAACCTGATTTGGTATATCTGCCAAGGAGAGTTCAAAGGCTGTTTAAAAAAAAAAAAGCTTCCTGGAGTTGTCCCTAAGCAAAGTCAAAAGGATGTCAAATTGCAGTTTCACACTATGGTTATAAATCTAGAAAGTTAAAATAGTAACGGTTCTATTGACTTTTGGCTTACATTATTCTACTTTTAAAATTTAAGAATTCTAGTAAGATTTGATTCATTTAGATTAAACATTTCCTTTCCAGTTACTTTCTGGTCAATTGCCATCTCTTATTCAGACCTTTAGGACAGTTTCATTGCTGATGGCTGAAACTAAGCCGTCTTACATATAATGAATGGCATTCTTTCCCTCTGTGTTCTCATTTTCATTACCCTTCATTTCACTCATTACAACTTATGCAATGAATTTTAGATCACTTCTTCATAATCTCCAAGTTGTTGTTGTTGTAAGTTGCAAAGCCATGTACAACTCTTCGCGACCCCTTGGACAATGTTCCTCCAGGCCTTCCTGTCCTCTACCATCTTCTGGAGTCCATTTAAGCTCACGCCTACTGCTTCAGTGACTCCATCCAGTCACCTCATTCTCTGTCGTCCCATTCTTCTATTGCCCTCAATCTTTCCCAGCATTAGGCTCTTCTCCAGTGAGTCCTTCCTTCTCATTAGGTGGCCAAAGTACTTGAGTTTCAACTTCAGGATCTGGCCTTCTAAAGAGCAGTCAGGTTTGATCTCCTCTAGGACTGACCGGTTTGATCGCCTTGCAGTCCAAGGGACTCGCAGGAGTCTTCTCCAGCACCATAGTACCATAATATCTCCAAGTACGTCCCTTCAACTCATAGCATGCGGTTGTACGATGCCTTTTCTTCTCCACCTGGGTCTAGCCAGCACCCTGAGGCTACTGTGGCTCCATTGCAAGAATCAAACTCTTTGTTACCTTTTTGGGGTTGCATGGATTTTTGATGCCATGCTAACTTTCCTTGTAGTTTGTTAAAATTGCACTCAAATATTATCCTATCAGGTTCCTTGTTTTCCCTCATGTTTCTTTTTCATAGTGGTGAAAAATATAAACAACAACAAAATCTCTGAACAACTTGCTACCATCTACAGGTATGATGAAGCCACTACTACTTAGAACAGCCAGAAAGCATGAGGTATTCTGGCACTTTCACTTAAGAAGGGAGGTGAAAGGAAATGGGAGTTAGAACAATGGGGAACCACCCATCTGATAGAAAACATGGCAACACAATCTTTCTTGCATTTCTCAGACCAGGAACAGATCTGATTAAATTCTGCAGTCAATTAATTCAATGTTCAGAAGCTACCAAAAACTCCACAAACTAACTTTGCCACTATGTGCAGAAGGATCATTAGATTCTGAGGGTTTGTTTTTTTAAATTTCCTTTAGAGATACTGCATCAGCCAATTATTTCCCACAATAATTAAATAGTTATGAACTTGAGAGTTGTACTCTTGGACTCATGCTTCCTAATAACTGGCATTCAGACACATGCTGCCTTAGATTCTACAGGAAACTCAACCACTGGGTTTGATCCAAGAACTTTTGGTTTCCTACCAATCCTAACTCAGAGGTTATTGTGGAGAGGGGGAAAAAATCAACAAGTGTTATGATGGGTATTTTGAGTTTCTGGATGGAAACTAAAATATATATCCCACAAATAAATAATATGTAATAACATTGTGTAGTAATTTGGATTTACAGAGAGACATTTGCTTCACTATATATATATATATATATATAAAAGAAAGAAACAGCAGACATTTCATATTACTCTGAGAAGCACAAAGCTAAAAGCACAAGCCTGATGATGATGAATGTGATTTCATCGAAACGTCGCTATGATACTTCTAATCTTACACGGGAGAAAACCCGAATGACCAAAGACTCA